GACGTTGAGACAGCTTTCGATCGCGTGCACCATGCAGCATTATTTTCTGCCTTGCTGGATTCGGGTATTTCGATTTCAACATTTTGTGTATTGAGACGGCTGTATCACGGAGTCAGAGGATATGTTTCTTTATGGGATGGGGCAGAGAGCAGACCATTTGATGTGCAGCGGGGTGTGAAGCAAGGAGACCCATTATCTCCGGCATTATTTAATCTGGTGTTGGACAAGGTCCTTTCCGAAGTGAGCAGCACGTGGAATCGCAGAGGGTATGGCACGTTGGTGGGGCAAAGCATCAACGGCAAGTGCCTCGCGCACGTAGCTTTTGCAGATGACCAGGCGCTCATTGCCAGAAGCTGGATCTCCATGAGAAGAATGATTCTAATGCTCCGGGACGCTCTGGCAAAGGTGGGCCTGGACTTACATCCCGCCAAGTGCAAGGTCCAGACGAACCGGGCCGAGTTCACACGCAGGGGCGCCGCCGTGCTGACGGAGGGTTTTTCCGTAGAAATATTGGAGCCGGGCGAACATCTCGAACTCTTGGGCACCAGCGTTTCTCTCGAGGACCCGACGGGCCAGGAAGTGGAACATCGCGTCGCTTGCGGGTGGCGCAAGTTCTGGGCAATGAAGAGGTTGCTTCTAAACCGGTCATATTCTTTGAGGGAAAGATTACGTTTATTTAATTCTACTGTCACAGAATGCGCTCTATGGGAATGCGAGTCGTGGACGCCCAGGGCAGAGGAGCTCAGGAAGCTGAACGTGGCTCAGAATTTGATGCTGCGGAGAATCGTTGGCTGTGGCCGCGCCGACGGGGAGCCGTGGGTTGACTGGGTCCAAAGAGCCGCCCGACGAGTGCGCCGCTTCGCCGAAAGTACTGGTCTCAAAGAGTGGGCGCCGGAACATTTCCGAAGGAAATGGCTCTGGGCAGGGCGCGTGGCCCGGGCGAGCGCCATCGACTGGTTGAATGGTGTCACAACGTGGAGAGATTCTTCTTGGCAGGCTGCTTCTGGCGAGCGGGGCTCGCTTCGCCCGACGCGTCCGTCAAGTCGCAGGTGGGTGCGTTTTGAAGACTCGGTGAGAAGATTTTGCCGAGACCGGGGGCCGGGGGAGTGGCAACTTCTTGCTGGGGACGCAGATCATTGGGCAAGTCTAACGGCTGATTTTCTTTCATATTCGGTGAAGTCGCACTTCCACTCCTGAGGATTTCGCGTAGGGTCCTGCCCCTTGCGGGCACTTCACTTCACTTCACTTCACTTCGAGCAGCTCTGCGCAGGTCGCGGTTTCGTCGCTGGTGCTGAGAAGGAGGAGGTCCAGCACCAAGAACAACTTCCATTCATCCTTCGCCTCCCCGCGTTCCCGGGCGTGCCGAAGGACTTCCAAAGACTTCCGGCGCACCTGGAGGACGGCGCCGCGTAGTCTGTCTGGGATCTGCACATACGTAGTGGCTCCTGTGGTTACCAGGTCGTCCCACGGCAGGGCTGTCCACCAGTCTTGGCCGGGTAGCTCGTTGTCGTCCCAAGCTGGATGCTGGACGGGCTGGTGTTGCTGCTGCTGCGCCGGCGGCGCCCCTCCAGCGGCGGCTCCTGCTCCGCGGGTAGCCTCGCGGACTGCCGTCTGCGCTCGCGCCGCCTCGGCGCTCAACGCATCGCCTCTCCCATGAGGCCGGAGCTCCGCGCCTGGCGGCAGGCGACCCTTCAGGCAGGTAGTGCACATCCACCGTGAGCACCTGCGGTTACCCCAGGTGCACAAGCGCAACTCGCCTGCTTCGAAGACCAGGCCGCAGGCCCTGCAGGCGGCCGGTCGTGCCGATGCTCCTTGCACGTCGACCGCCCAGACCGCTGCCCGAAACTGGGCCGCCAGCTGAACGCTCGCGTCCACCTCCATCGTGTCCTCCTGCTCCTCCCCCCCTGGCTCCTGGCGCCGCCGGCCGCTGGCCGCGGGTGCGCCTGCGGCCGCGAGGGAAACGTCGACTTCCATGGCGCGCCCCCCCCGCGGAGGAGGGGAGAAGGGGCTGAGGAGGAGGGGGTGGGGGGGGGGGAGGCACGGGGGCTCGGGCCAGAACTTGAGCCAGGAGAGGAGGAGGAGGAGGAGGAGGATGAGGAGGAGCAGGAGGAGGAGAGAGGAGGAGGAGGAGAGGAGGAGGACGAGGAGGAGGAGGAGGAGCGGAGGCGAGGAGGAGGAAGGAGGAGGAGGAGGAGGAGGAGGAGGGAGGAGGAGGAGGAGGGCGGAGGAATGAGGCGGAGGAGGAGGAAGGAGGAGGAGGAAGAGGAGGAGGCGGAGGAGGAGGAGGAGGAGGAGGAGGAGGAGGAGAGGGAGGCGGAGGAGGCGAGGCGGAGGCGGAGGCGGAGGCGGAGGAGGAGGAGGAGGAGGAGGAGGGGCGGAGGAGGAGGAGGAGGAGGAGGAGGAGGAGGAGGAGGAGAGGAGGAGGAGGAGGAGGAGGAGGAGGAGGAGGAGGAGGAGGAGAGGGAGGAGGAGGAGGAGGAGGAGGAGGAGGAGGAGGAGGAGGAGGAGGAGGAGGAGGAGGAGGAGGAGGAGGAGGAGGAGGAGGGAGGAGGAGGGAGGAGGAGGAGGAGGAGGAGGAGGAGGAGGAGGAGGAGGAGGAGGAGGAGGAGGAGGAGGAGGAGGAGGAGGAGGAGGAGGAGGAGGCGGAGGAGGAGGAGGAGGAGGAGGAGGAGGAGGAGGAGGAG